TTCCATTTTCAAACCTAAAAACATGTTCATCAAATTTTTCACCCGACTATGTGATCATCTAGAAGACCGAAAGTACGAGCACATTCTGAAATCAAACCTTGTACAACCCAAGTAGGGTACACGGTCCTACGTATAGGAAAGCTGGGATCAAAATCGGCCTATCCCGATCGATCTCAACGGTTAGTTTGTCGAATTCTTTTTCCATTTCCCTATTGGTTGACAACTCAATGCTCTTTTTAAAATCTTCACTTTACAAAATGACTTTTCAAAAAACCAAGACTGAACCGCCAGGTCATTGGCCCGCCCGGACAGAGACTGCCGGGTCATTAACGGGGCTGCCTCGGGATCGCCCGATCTTCGATCGGACTGAATACAGATTGTCGGGTCATTGGCTGGATAGGATGAGGACCGTCGGTCGTTAATCAAATAGAACGGGGATAATCAGATGGTTGACAGGACGGGGACTGTAGGATCGTTGATCGGACCGGACGGGGACTGTCGAGTCATTGACCCAGACTGGATCAGACCGGGTCTGCCCGACCGTTGACCTTACCGAACAAGTACTGTCTGGTCATGGATCGGACTAGACAGGGATTGTCGGGTCATCGATGGGACCGGACAGAGACTGATGGGTCATCGACCAGACCGAACAGGGACCGCCAGGTCGTAGATCGAGCTGGACAGGGGAAGCGGGATCATGGACCAGATTGATGGAAGATTGCCGATCGTAGGGTCATCGACTAGACCAGATTGGGACCGTCGGGTCGTTGACCTAATCGGACGGGGACCACCGAGTCGTTGACCATACTGGATCGGTATGGGACTGCCCGCCTGTCGATGACAGGGACCGCCTGGTTGTGGATCGGACTAGACAGGGACCGGCAAGTCAATGATTGAACCGGACTGTCAGGTCGTTAACCGGACCGGATAGGGATCGTAGAGTCGTTTATCGGAATGGAACCGACACCGGCGCGGGATTGGATCCACCATTAGGCGTAAGTATGCATATTCATTGCAGCGGCACTGTAGCATCCACGTTTTCCAAATTTGGAAACCAATAAAAGTCACTTCTCCAATTCATTAAGGAAAAGAGCAGGGCGGAGGCCCTATGCAACGAAAAAAATTTGGTCTTTTTCTCACGTTCCAAACAAAAGTGATTTGTATTAAAACGTTGATAACAATGTCCTTGGATCGTAAATGTCAAACAAAGCAGAATTATTCGGCTTATCGGCTAAAATGTTGATAACAATGTCTTTTTTATCAAGATTCTCAACCATGTCGTTACCACAATGATCGGGTATTTCAACATTGTTTTAAACATCTACATTTTGTTGTTCACCCTCTTGAACCTTGCTAGCTTCTTTAATAATAAATTTATCAAGAGCTTCTTTTTGAGACAATGTTAAATTATCAATTCTTCTTTTCTTTAGAAGCTTCTCATGACTAGAAGGGTACTTCTTTGGATACATAATGACTAGCAAATACCAACTATTCAAGTTCTCCCCTCCTATACATGTTTAAAAATTTTAGGTTAAAACTATATTTACATTAATCAATTTCTTAATTGAATAATTTTTATTCCTCAAAACAAAATTGAATAATGTTTAAACACACTTATTCTCAATTCAATTACTTAATTAATAAGTACGGAGTAATAAATTATTAAAATAAATAAGCAAATAACAATAAGGCAAGTAGGCAACAAACTGAAAAAAGAACAAACAAATTTCACAAATTTGTAATTCAAAGAATCAAATAAATAGCAAAATCACAGACTGATGATAGTACAACAATGCTTACCGGACTAGGGCAATGGTGCGGTCATGGTCCTGGTCTCCTGGAGCTGGAGGCGGCCGTCGTTGCGTGGTGGCAAGCTAGAGAAGTGGAGACTTGAACCTGGGCTCCTGGCTGGCGGCGAACCTCTTGTCCCATGTGTCCTTCGACCTTCGCAGTTCGTTCCAAGCTAGGCGATTGGACTTGGCGACTTGCGAATTGGACTTAGCGACTTTGGGGTTCCGTTCGTTCCTTTCAATCGTTCCTATTACCTTCGCAGTTCAAAGCTTCAGATGATCGGATCTTGGGCTGAGTAATACTACTAATAAAAAAAAATTGGGCCTTCCAAATTAAAGGGCCTTGTGCGGTTGGGCTGGGTGCACCTGCCTTGGGCCGTCCCTGGAAAAGAGAGACATATCTCATTTTTTTCTTTTTGGAAAACAATTTGGTAAACACAATTTTCTTTTTCCTTTCTCCAGTTCTCCAGCAAGTTTCTTCGGTAAACACGTTTTCTGTTTTCCTTTTTCCAGTTTTTCAATTCTCTGGAAAACTGGAAAATGTCTCTGTTAGTAAACAGGCCCTGAACTTTTATTTTTTAAAATTAATTTTATTTGGAAAATTTGACTGGAATAATCCAAACTATTAGCTATCCGCTTCTAATAATCCGTAGTACGTGTTATTTATGTTTAATCCCAACTTGGTGGGCTGTCTTCCGTAATTGTACTGCAGTCACCTGTGACCGGTTGAATCAGTCATATTTAAAAAATACCTAACTAATGCATCACGCACCCCTTATCCTCCTCACTTCGCTAACCATGAATGCATCTTCGTACAAACTGGTAGGTCTTCATTTTCTTTGCACCGCCATTAATGTCTTTTAATCTTTCATCTGTTCACCCTGAGAATGTAGTCTATGTTTGCGCTCATGTAATCTGTTTGTTTTGGTAGGGAAGTAGCTGAAGGTTGTGGTCCGGTCAAGCAAAACGGAAAGGTACAAATTTTGATTTTGTTCTTTAAATTACTGGAACGTAGTACAATTTTAATTCAATTTGGAAGATATATGAATGATTTACCAAGTCTTTGAATGACTAACACAAAGGCTTGCTATAGCCTATGTAATTATAGCTATATATCTGAGTCGATTTAGGCATATTACTTACAAATGTACTCAATTGGAGTTCAATTCTGTGATTTTTAGGATTTTATTAACACAGACGGAGTGTTTTATTAGTAGAAGGCTCCTCCTTTATTTGATTCTACTATTTTAAATGCATTTCCTTTTTGTGTTCTAATTTTAGGTTGTAAATTAAAGAAAAGGGAATGGCTTTAAATATTGTGGTTACTTTGAAGATGTGGCATGGAGGTACATTTAAGAAGGATAGTAAAGGGAATTTAGAGTATGCTGGTGGTCAGTTTAGATGTTTTGATTTGGATGCTGATGAACTATGTTGGTTCTGGTTAGAGGAGTTAGTGGCAAGTGTGGGAAATATAGTAGCATAGATGAAATCTATTACTTGGTCCCTGGTAAGACTTTGGAGACAGGTTTGAGAAGTGTTAAGTTTGATGCTGAGGTGAGGGAAATGTATAATGTAGTACTGCGTAGTACTATAGATTTGTACATTAAACATGGAGTCAGTACACCTGAACTTGTAGGGTTGCTGGAAGGATGTGGGGAAACACACACAAGTGAAGGAGGTACTGCTGCACAAGCTACCCAAGGAGGTAGTGATGTAAATGCTTCTGACCCTTCTGATGATGATTATAATGTTGATTCAGAACACAATAAAGAAGGTGGAGATGTTGAAATGGAAGCTGGAGAGGAGTTAGAGGTCCCATTGTTTGGGTTAGATTATGACACAAGTGATGAAGAATTCCTGGAGTCTAGAAGAAGAGTTACAGGGTGGATTCAAAGGTTGTTGACATTGCAAAACAACTTCAAAAGGAAGCTGTTGAAAGTGTGGTTGGGGGTAAAAAAGCCTCATCTACAGGGTGTACTGTTCAGATCATAATGACTTTGTCTGTGAGTATGAAGAATCTCAAGAAGATATCCACACACCAGTGGAAAGTGATAATGAAGATAGTCTCCCAAGAAAGAGAAGAGATAGAGTTGCTATGGTGGATGCACATACAAATTTCAGTAAGTTGATTTGGCAGGTTGGTATGCGGTTTGAAAATAGAGAAAAATTTAAGGATGCAATTGCTAGATTTGCAATATCTTAAGGCAGGAATCTGCAGATCAATGTTAGTAGTAAGGGTAGGCAACAAAAGGTTGGTGCTAAATGTGTTGAGGGTTGTCCTTTTAGATTGTATGCGAGTTGCGATAGTAGGAGGGCTAGTTTTGTGGTGAAGTCTTTCAAAGGGGAGCATAGTTGTAATAGGAACATGAAAAAGAATAGGCAATTGAAGGCTTCATGGGTGGCAGAGCAATTCCTAGAAGTATTTAAGTCTAGAACTCACTGACTAACAAAAGAAATAATTGAGACCATTAGGAGAGGTTATAAAGTTCTTGTTAAGAGGGACTATGCATATAAAGTGAAATACCATGCACATATGAAGCTCCATGGTAGCATGAAAGATCACTATAATAAGCTAGGAAGATATTTGGAAGCCTTAAACCAAGCTAACCCCCTCAGCCACTTTAAATTACTCACAGACCCTAAATCTCAAAGCTTTCCCCCCACCTTCCAGCGCTTCTTTGTATGCTTCAATGGGATTAAAGATGGGTGGTTGAGTGCTAGTAGGAAAGTCTAGTGTGTGGATGGGTGCTTCATCAAAACATTTCTAGGAGGGATGCTTCTATCAGCTGTTGGGAGAGACTTCAATGAGCAAATGTTCCCATTATCATGGGCAGTAGTAGAAGGTGAAAACAACTGTAGTTGGGAGTGGTTTATGTGTGAGCTGAAGAAAAATGTAAGAGACTCTGATGGTTCTGACCTGACTTTTATTTCAGATGAACACCAGGTAAGCTTTGGACTGATCTAATGCTTGTTTATACTTTTCATTCATTTCACATGGAACTGAACTAATACTTGTTTTTACTTTTCATTCATTTCACATGGAACTGATTTAATACTTGTTTATACTATTCATTCATTTCACAAGGAACTAATCTAATACTTTTCATTCATTTCACAAGGAACTGATCTAATACTTGTTTTTACTTTTCATTCATTTAACATGGAACTGAACTAATACTTATTTTTACTTTTCATTCATTTCACATGGAACTGCTTTAATACTTGTTTATACTTTTCATTCATTTCACAAGGAACTGATCTAATACTTGTTTATACTTTTCATTCATTTCACAAGGAACTGATCTAATACTTGTTTTTACTTTTCATTCATTTCACATTGAACTGATCTAATACTTGTTTCATTTGGCAGTCTATATTGCATGCAGTTTCAGTAGTGTTCCCACTGGCAGAGCATAGACACTGTGCACGCCATATTTTTGCTAATTGGCACAAAACACATAAGGGCGATGAATTGAAAATGATATTCTGGAAAGCTATCAAGGCCTACAATGAAGCTGATTTGCATGATGCACTAGATGAAATGGAAAAGGTTAATCCAAGTGATGTGGTTGCTTTCAAGGCATGTAATCCCCATGTATTTTGTAGAGCCTATGTTCGGAGAAACAGTAAGTGTGATGTCATTGTCAGCAACATGGCTGAAACATTTAATGGCTACATAATCAATGCTAGAGCCAAAAATATTATATTTATGGCTTTTATGCTAGAAAATATTAGGGGTGCCTTGATGCAAAGAATGGTGATGAAAAGGCAGGCTATGGAAAAAGTGTGGCTGTCATCTCTCCTAGAATTATGAGCAGATTAGAGAAAGAAAAACATCATGCAGCCCATTGTACCCCTCTACCATCTAGTAAAGTGTCTTTTCAGGTTAGCCATTATTTAGATACATTGACTGTGAACTTGGAAAGTCAGAGTTGTACTTGCAGAAAGTGGGACCTTAGTGGTATTCCATGCTGTCATGTAGTGGCTTGTATGTTCTTTATCAATGCAGCCCGTGAGGATTATGTTCATCAGTGCTATAGTACGTAGAGAGGCTATAGTAGCGGACGACTAATAGTTCAGATTATTCCAGTCAAATTTTCCATTTTATTTTGGAGCATTACAAACTTTTATTATTAAGCACATTTTTCAAAATCATTTTTACTCGTTAACTAATTCAGATCACAAACTCTGCTCACTGTTGAGCACTACATATTATCCACTGTTTTTTAATAGTCGCAACAGTTTGACTTTCACGTTTGTCAACACACAACTTTGATTGTGATTATATTTAATTACGTCCACTACAAAAAAACACGGAGTTAGTCACGGATTTAGTCACGGACCGTAGTATAAAAAATCCGTGACTAACTCTGCTAGTCACAGACTTTGTCCGTGACTAAATCCGTGACTGTTTGGGCGTGACTAATTCTAGTCACGGTCATTTTATCCGTGACTTAGCGTAGTCACGGCTTAGTCACGGACCGTTCCCGTGACTAACTTGTCACCGGAATAACCACACCGGCGACTTAGTCACGGCCTTTTCCGTGACTAAATATAGTCACGGACTAATCCGTGACTAAACTTTCAAATTAAAAAAAAAAAGAACCGCCAAATGTTACGGTTTAAATTTTCAAATTTCAAATTTTAGTCACGGACTTGATCCGTGACTACTTTTTTATTTTTTTAAAAAAAATTAAATTTGTAAAATAACTTTTTAAAAAATCGGTCTAGAATTTAGTCACGGCTCGGATCCGTGACTAAAGTTTTTTATTTTTAAAAAAAAAGTTTTTTTGTTTTAAAAAAAAATAAATTCATTTTTAATTATTCTTTAGAAAAGTTTATTTTAAAATATATTTGTAGAATAAAAGTAATAAACAGACTACTAGAACACACATTTCATAACCAAACAGATTGAAATAAAAGTAATAATAAGCACAATAGAATTATAGTAAATAAACAATGTTCAAATAAAAATGTATATCATTTACAAGCTCCTCCGGCTACCATTATGATAATATCTAGAATCATCATATAGATAATCATCTTCGGTCTCATGTTCTCGGTTGTCTCCAGCTTGGCCTTCTCGATTGCCACCGCGACTGCCTCCTCCGCGACTGCCACCTCCGCGACTGCCACCTGCTTGGCTGCCTCCAGATGTTTGAAACAGGTTGTGAAAATTGATATCCTGAATAGAACCAAATGAAGGCAACCCGGTAGCAGAGTTGGTACGGAAATAACCGCCCATGTGCGGAACTTGAGGTGTCTGCTCAGGGTGCAGTACATACGGCTGAGGCTGAGGCTGATTCCGAATTCCGGCGCTGAGGATCCGTTCCATCTCTTCCAGCCGGGCCCTTGTTTTTTCTTCTTTTTTGCGTTGCTCCTCCAAGGTGCGCTGCTGCTCAGCCAAGGCCCGCTGCTGCTCCTCCATCTCCCGCTGCATTTGAGCGATACGCGGATCCTCTCCGCGCCTTGATCGGGAAGATGAAGCACCGCTGCGGTCGTACAAGATCCGTTGCCCCTCAGCCCCCATGCACGGGACCCGGCCCTTGTACACCCCAACTGCCTCAAAGATGGCATCATCCTCCACATCAGAATCAATCTCATCCTCCTGAGTCAAGCCTAATTCTGCCCGCCTCTTCTCAACATTTGTGTTATACTTCGACTACATGTACAAAAATTGTTAATTTAATGTTACTCAATTTGATTTTGAATGGGAATAAGTAACAAAATAATGTTACTTACTTCGATTTCAGCGAGGCGTGGTGGCAGATCGGCATCGGACTCATCGCCGTGCTTTGTCCAGCAGTGCTTGATGACCTTGAGAATTGAGACCTTCTTCTTCTCAGGCCCCGACTACAGTTTGGAAAAAAGGCTTAAGATCCACAATTAAATGTTAAAATGAAGGGTTGTAATTGTGTAAGGTTTTTTGAAAAATACTTACAAGATCTTCTTTATGTCTACTCTGAGGTTTGCGGCCCCCATGCCATTGGGTTTCTAAGGCCTTCTCGGACATCCGGTTTTTCTTACCGGATTGACTTCTTGCCAAGAAGTTTGGATCAGAAGACCAGTGACGGACGAGGTTAGCCCACACCTCATCCGAACACCATCCAGGCTTTACCCCGCTCGTTCGGGCACGCCTAAAAGTAGGACGAAGCCAGTTTGAAATCCTAGCGTTATACGCTCTAAGAATAGCGGGACCTTGGGCTTCAGTCCATCGAAACCGACCCTTTATAAAAAAAAAATAAATTAATTTATCTTTTATCAAATGTTAAGTTAATACAATTACGCAGAGAAAATTCATTTTTTTTTACCTTGAAAAGGTTCCACCAAAGTTCACGAACCTTGGGGTCAACTTCCGTGTATGTTGCCCAGTTCCCAAGAAAGTGTCCTCCGATTATGACTTTGATTTGGTCCAACACTTCTTGATCGCTTCAAAAAATTAATATTATTTATTTATAAAAGTTTTGATTACATTATGATACATTGAAAAAATTATTTCACGTTAGATAAAATTCATAGTTACTTACTTCGCAACCATGTGGGGCGTCACCCAAAGCGCATTTTCATTGTTGCGCTCAGCTTCGGTTAAGGGCACATAGTTTGGGCGGGTACGCGAGGTTGATTGTTCATTGCTCATCTAAAATATATTAATTTATATTTTTTAATGTTAGTCTAATCATAATAGAAGATCAAATTTTAATACTGCGTAGTCTGCGTGTAACTTTAATATGAGGGGTGGTAATTTTATAAATTGTTATTAAATGTAACGTGTTAAACTTTTAGGCAATTTTAAATATTTTTTTATTAAACTGTTTTTTATCAAACTGTTTAATAAAAAAACAGTATATTATTAAAGTGTTTTTAATAATCTATATTTTATATTTTATTTCGAAAAACAGTTTTTACTGTCTTAATTAATATTTTATAATTAACATATTTTATAAGGTTGATAAAATGTCGGATTTTCATCCGCATCTGGTTGATACGAGGTTGAGGCTTCAGGGGGGTCGTTAGGTGGTTGTGGGGGGTTGAACTGAGACATCGGTACACCGTATGCGTCATATACCATTTGTTGGTCCCACGCACTCATCTCTGGAGGGACGTAACGAGACGAACCTACCGTTTGTGGTATAACAGATGGATCCAAAGGTTCGCCGTGAGAAGTCCAATTATAATAATTGGGAACAAAACCGACCGCGTACAAATCATACCCAACTTCGTGTGGGTCTTTAAATTTGAGATTTTTACACTTTGAACATGGACATCTTATTTTATCACCACTCATATAAGCCGGATGTTCAAGTGCAAATTCAATAAATTCCCCAACTCCCTCGAGAAAATTTGATTGCATTCTGTACAATACCGCATCTTTATCATACATCCAACTTCTATTTTGTTTATACATTATGCCTGAATATTATAATAAAAAAGTATACACGTTCAAATACTAACAATAATACTAACAAATTTTAAGTGAGTTATTTCACTAAATAATCAACTAACTAATTTTCACTAAATTAAATGAAATGCACACAATTCACAACAATAATTCACAAAATATAAGTAATTACCTAATACTTAAATTTAACTAATATTACAAAAAATTTAAGTAATTTATTAACACTACATTTAAATTAAACATACGTTTAACTAAATTTAACTAATTCATTTAGTTAAATTTAACTAAATTTAACTAGTTCATTCCGTCCTCTTTTAATGCATCACTACGTTTAAACCTACGTTTAGCTAACTAATATAACATAATTAACACATCACTAGCTACGTTTAAACCTACGTTTAGCTAACGAATTTTAATTAAATTATTTTTGTAAACCTACATTTAAACCTACACTAAATTATTACGTTAATGACATTTAATGTTATTAGTACTACACAATTAACAATTCCAATTCACTAAATTAAATAATATGACCAAATTAAACCCAATAATTTGAACATGTATATAAGGTCATTTGAATTAATAAATAATACACAATTACAATAACAATTCACAATACACTTAATTAACACATTACTAACGTACGTTTAACTAACTAATTTCACTTAACATAAAGATCACTACGTTTAAAACTACGTTTAGCTAACTAATTTTAATTAAATTATTTTATAAACCTAACAGTTTAAGTAATTTTATGACATTAATACGCTTACAGTTGAATATGTTGTTAATTAATTAACAACATCACTAATTTAATAGTTTTAATAATTTAAATTGAACCAACTAATTCTAAATAAAAATAATAATTCAAATAACATACCTTAACTGCATAAATGGGGAAAATGATAGAAGACAGACTACATCCTTCGATCTTTCAAACAGATACTGTATATACTGAGAATGAATTGGTGTGGTTCTGTTGAATGAACTGCTCCTGCATATATAAAAAATTTAGTCACAGACTTAGTCACGGATTTGTCCGTCACTAAGCAAAACCGTGTCCATTACGCGCCCAATCCGTGTTAATGACGTGTAAATGACGTGTAAATCAAAGTAGTCACGGACATAGTCACGGCCTTGTCCGTGACTAAATTTATCCGTACATAATACCGTTGCAAATTAATTTGTGGGAGATGGAAAATTAAATTTTAATCATAGTCACGGCTTTAGTCACGGATGTGGCCGTGACTAAGTCGCCGGAGTAAAACAAGCCAGGCCGGAAAATCAAACGGGCCAATCGGAGGATGTTAGTCATGGACAAAAATCAGTGACTACGTGTAGTCACGGCTGTAGTCACGGATTTTACCGTGACTATTTTTTTTTTTAAATTTTCGTGACTAGTCCGTGACTAGTCCGTGACTAGGCTAGTCACGGACCAAATCCGTGACTACGGTCCGTGACTAAACGAGTGTTTTTTTGTAGTGGTCTTAGTGAATATTGTAAAAATAATATTTTGAAAATTCACATTAATAGAAATTTTATAACATGTTATAAATAATAATTTGCTTAAATATATTAATAGAAAAGTGTGGTGAAAGTAAAGTTTGCGAATAATGTAAAAGTCACAATGAGGAAGTATTTGTGCTGCTTTTCGTACCCAGTCAAATTTCTGCTTCAAAGAGGTCAATTAGTAAAAGAGTAAAGGGTCAGTTTGGTACTCGAAGTTGCAAAAAAGGCGTCAAATAAGTCCTTATATAGAAGATTCTGTCCGGACGTGCCATTTGAGGTGGCTCCCGATAGAATTTTTTGATGAATTTTTTTGATCATCTTATTCATTAAGTCTAGTTTACTCATACCAAATTTCAGCTAACAATTCAATCGGGGAGACATTCAAATGAATTCTTGAAGATAACTGCCCTTTTAACGGCACAGTTATCTTCAAGAATTCATTTGAATGTCTTCCCGATTGAATTTTTAGCTGAAATTTGGTTTGAGTAAACTAGACTTAATGAATAAGATGCTCAAAAAAATTTATCAAAAAATTCCACCGGGAGCCATCTCAAATGGCACGTCCGGACAGAATTTTCTATATAAGGACTTATTTGACCCCTTTTTTTGCAACTTCGAGGACCAAACTGACCCTTATCCCATTAGTAAAAAACCTCACATACACAATTCCACTCCAAAATGACAATCACATTTCACATGAACCAATTAACTGGATAATGACCATTTTTACTGTTAATTTGGCCATTTAAATGACCGATCCTAATAACTTCTCAAAGTTAGAATATTAGTTAGCACTACCAAAGCATAATAGGTAACTCCCAAAAAATAAACTAGAGAATACCGTAATCCAGAATAGGATTCCGATTTATGGGGTCTTAATTTAAAAAATATATATAAATTAGTAAGAAAGAAAAAATAAAGATTCATCATTTTTCCGTTAATCTTTTTAATTCTCTTTTACTCAACTTGTTTGAGTAATTAGTTTTGTTCCATTAAATCAAGTACTACGTATTAAGTAATTAAGGTTTGGAATTTGTATTACATTATTGAATGAGCAATTGGTTTGAGTATAAGTATTTAGATTGAGATTGTCTTTTTACCTAATGTGGAATCACGATTTTACATTTAGATTGGAGTACTTTACTATGTAGTTAGTAGTCAGTTAGTAACTACTCCGTAACTATTTGTTAGTTTTATGGAAGGGATAAATTGGACTTTGCATCCTATTTTAAGAAATCTTTAATTTGTTTTTGTACCCTAACCCCATATAAAAAGACAAACATGCCTCTTATTCAGGAATATGTTAAAAGCCAACATAATTGTTAATGGAGGGGCATTTTTGACCTTTCATACGAGATTGGGGTGAAAAACCCATTTTTTAAAAAACGAAATATAAAGTTTAATTTGGACAATAAAATGGAGTGCAAGGAAAACTCTTTCATTGTAGTAGTATCCTCTTCTTCATTTCCGAAGAGGTTAATTGTACAAGAGCTTTTTCCAGAGTTTCATGCTAATATAAATCTTTCAACTTTATTGATCATTTATTCAAGTTCAATTTCCATATGTTTTCAAAAACTTATATCACGTTTGGAAGAGCTATTTCCAGATGGTGCATGATGAACACAAATTTTGTGTTCAACACATCATCAGAAACTTCCATAAGATTTTTCATGGAAAAGAATTATTTAATTTCCAAACGCTGAACACATATTTAGACTTTTGAGGTATTGAAATAAATTTTTGAAGACGTGCGGCTAAAAAGAGATATACTATGTATATCCTCTAGAAAATTATCATGTAACGACTTATGACATGGGTTGTGATGTCGTGGCTTTATTTTGGGAACTAAGGTTATGACACACAAAATTATTAGAATGTGTCATCGTTTTAACACATTCCACGTAGGAAATAAGTGTTGCTTACTTGCTTCTACGGCCTCAAGCTAGGACCAATTGACACTGCATATAAATAGAAATCAATTATTTACTCATTAATAGATATCATGACCAACATATATATTCAATTAAGAAATACCTTGTTGCAAAGAAGGAACGAATAATAGCCAGCAGTACGTGCAAAATTTAGTGATCCACTCTTATCATTTTATATATAAACAAAGTTTAATCAACTAGCTAGGTCAGTACGTTTCTCTTCTTAAAAAAAAAGGTCAGTACGTTTCTCGCGTTTTCACTATATAAAACGAGATTGGCGCAGGCTTTTGATAAAGATTCGCCAAAATTGATTGAGGTTTTGGCAGAAATACATCAAAGTTGTGCATCTTGTCACAAGTTATTTGGTATGAAATCGATCAATTCGTCAAAAAATTTGTAGTGTTTATTTAATGTGTACTTTAATGTTAATGTTATGTATGGTGTTAATTTCCTCGTGTTCCGCTTTCGTGTTATGTTACTACTTCCATATCATTTCATGTGTTTTTTGTAATTTGATACAATTATTAATAAAATGGTTGATAACAATAAAATTTAAATAAAAAGTAAATCCTTTTCAAAATGTCAAATCGTTTTTTAACAATAATTTAAATGATACTAATAGATTATAAGCGTTACATACATGTCATATACATTATATAACTCACGTAAGTAGTGAGTGAATTAGACGTTTTTTTTTAAATTTTAGAATAATAAAATCAATATTTTGCATCAAATTCTACTCATTTCGAGTTTAGACACTTATTTTTCTAAAGTCGTAATTTTTTAATCCTAATGAGTTACTAGGGTTATAACATATCAAATCGGTGGTATTTCAGTGTTTTATATTTTCAATCATTGAGGGGGTTGGCTGACCACACTGCCCCCTGGTTCCGCCCCTGGTTATATATGTAGGGTTTAAGATAGAAGCGGAGGTAGGGGTAACGGGGGCCAGCCCACCTCAAATTTTAAAATTATTTGTATTTTTAGTGTGGTCAGCCCAAAGCTTTATCCTTGCTACACCTTACTTAAAGAACATATATAGAAATCAAAAGATAACCCATATTACCTACTTTTCCATGAAGAGCTAAATTGGGTCAAATTTTCCACCAAATATTGGTTTAAATATGTGTTTAGTCCCTGCAATTATAGTACATTTTGTTTTACATCCCTGCAAAATTATTTTTTTGTTTTTCGTCCCTGCAATTACGTAGGTTTTCTTTTTAGTCCATCATTGGTGATAACAATCTCCGTTTGACTTCAAAATAACCCCGATTAATACATTCCCTCTAATTCTTTGTCATGTTATTTAAAAAGTATTTTATTTTATTTTTTAGAAAGTTTTTAATATATATTTTCAAAATATGAATACTTAGTTTTAAATTATTTTAACTCTCATATTAGCCTCAAAAAAATTATAAAAGGACAAATCTACATATTTTTACTAGATTTATATAACTAACAATAACTTTTGTTGTAAGTAGAGTAGTTTCAGAATTGGAGATGGACTAAAAGCAAAATAGTGTATATTGCAGGGATGAAAAACAAGAAAAATATTTTGAAGGGACTTAAACCAAAATGTGTCATATTTGCAGGGACTAAAAACGTATTTAAGCCCCAAATATTAAGTATAAATATACTTGTATATATAAAGATCCTGTCCAGCACTCCAGTCGGAGGGACCGGATCTTCCGTCCAGCCGCCGCCGTTTGGGATGATTTCCGGTGGAATATTTTGATAGAATTTTTTTGGGAATATTCCTAATCAAATCTAGTTTATCCACACAAAAAATTCAACTAAAAATTTGATCGGGAGTGCAGTCAAATAAATTTTTGAAAATGACTGTGTTTTATATGTTTAGTTTGGCGCAATTATTTTCCAAAAAACTGTTATTTATCAACATATATTTCATATGTAAATATCTTACTTCTATAAGTTTTTGTAAAAAAAAAATGGAACAGCAGGAAAGATATATTATCACCATTTCGAAGATTAGGCCTACGTATGATACAAATTTTTGTTTATGCTATTTCCGTGCATGAGACTAATACGGAGTATAATTTTGGTTTATGGCACTTTCGCCTGGCGTCGTCAAATGTCAGTTCCAATGTTTTCACATTTCTTTTCATATGAATTCATGTCATTTAAAAAAAACGTAATCCCTATTATATTAGCCTATTAGGTCATACGAAGTAGAATACGGAGTATATAACATTATTAGAGATAATATGAATTATGGAATAATGACTTACCCTTCTAATCTTTTGAGGCTATTTAATTTTCCCTCACTAATCTTCGATCTTCTAAATATTATCTGAAATTTTATTTGGATTAGCAAACAATAGAATAGAATAAATAGAATGGAATAGAGAGATGAGGATACTGGAGACACTTGAGCTAAACTGGCGGGGATGGGATGACATTAAATGTCCTCATATGTCTCTTCCATGTCGTCATTTTTACAATATAGTGTCCTCTACATATTACAAATATAATTATATGTTAATTACTCCATCTTATTTTAATGTCCTCATATAGCTAGGCTTAATTAGCTACCAGCTGCCAAGCTAGCCGGCCATGGCGTCTGCCACCCTGCTGGAGCAGTTGCCGGAGGATTGTATCGTTCAAATCCTCTCCGGTGTACCACCCCGCCTGGCTTCCCGGTTGTCGTTGGTCTCGACGGCTTTACGCACCGCCGCTGAGTCAGAGCAGCTGTGGGAGACTTTTCTGCCATCTGATTATCCAGAGATTTTAAGCAGATTAGTGTTTCCCATAAGATTCATGTCCAAGAAAGAGTTGTTTGTCAAGCTTTTCAGCCCTCTTCTCATAGATGGAGGCCATAAGGTAATTTTCTCATCAAATATACTCCCTCCGTTTCAAAAAGATTGACCAATTTGACTTTTCTCGGTCAATGATGTTCAAGTTTGACCAATGATATCCTTTTATAAAAAATTATCTAAAATATGAAAATTATATGAGCTTATTATTTATTAAAAAAACCTTTCATAAAAGTATAAAATTTATAAATTATACACAAATATAATACCTAAAATCATTGTCTAAATTTTAACACCATTGATCAAGAAAAGTCAAATTGGCCAATCTTTTTGGGATGGAGGTAGTATATAATTGTACTCCTAATATATTGCCTGTGTCCCATTTTAGTTTTTATAATTGTACTCCTAATATATTGCCTGTGTCCCATTTTAGTTTTTACTTTTTCAGCCAAAGTTGATAAGTTTGGCCAATTATTTTATACTAGTAGTATACTTTTTCAGCCGGAGTATATGTAAAATTTAATTATGATACTAGTAGTACACTACATATTTAGCAAAGAACAGTTTTTATCACTTTTCATATTGATGGATTATATGGACTCCGACCCCCCGGTATGCCGACTACTAGGCCTGGACAGCGGCCCACACACGTTTAACAGATATCATTAATATTATTGTACATTATTATTATTATTCAGATGTTCTAGATTAGCTTTTTATACTATCAGTCCATTTATGTAACCGGGTCTGTCAGGCCCATATTAGAGGCCCAGACCCGGATTTTCCCTATATATACTCCTTATAGGAGGCTTGTAACTCATACAACCAATATTCATTCTATACACTTCCATTATTTCTTCTCTATTCTTGTTCAATCTCTCTGTAGTTATAGGATATGGGTATCAATTATCCAACAATGGTGCTCTCGTTGAGAGGTTGAACACAATCAAGTGAGAAAACCTCCCCAATTAACCAAAAATTCTTCCCAATCACAAAAAACTGCTCTGGAAAAATAAAAAAGAAAGAAAAATTGGAATTTTGCAGATCTGGAACTGCTCTTCCGAGCGTCGGTCAACCGGATCCGTCACGGTCAAGGGGAATAACCTTGTCGGAACCGGCCAAGCAGTGGAAGCAGCTGAAATCCGGAACCCAGCCCACCACCAGCGGCGACGCCACAACAAGGCCATGCTCCACCGCAGATCTGCGACCCGGAAGACCACCGGCGAAGTACGGTCTCCGCCGTCTCGCTCGCGACGGCGCCTAACTCCCGGCAGCTCCGCCACCGCTTCGGCCTCCATCGCAGCTCAAGGAAAGCGGAGGCCATGACTTCCATCTTCTTAAGCCATTTTCTTTGGTTGCCGGAGGTCCGCCATTACTGGCCATCTCCATGCTCCGAAGAATGACAAGTCTGAGTTTCGTCAACTCCGCCACCGTGCGCCAAGTCACCACATTTCTGCTGGATCTCGCCTACCCGTTCACAGATCTCATCGGCCACATGGTTGCCGCCAAGCACGGGTAGCTGAAGCTTGCCGCCGCTGTTCTCAGAAGGCACAGATCTGGAATGCTCCTAATTAAGCCACAGCTGCATCGCCATCCTGGACGCTGTCGTCCGCTGAAATGCATGCGGCTGACCCATATCTCGCCTCCATCACCGCATATATCTGCGACGCCATCTCCGACGCCTCCCACCTTGCTCCTGGTTGCTCCGCCACCACGCCTGGACCAGATTGCTCTACGTCAGCGTTCAACCTCAAACTCTCAGATGTTAACCCTGGTGACCTCGCCCCAGCGCAGCCCCGACAGCTCAATCCGGCTGTGATATTCCAGTCGCCAGCGCCGCCGAAAAGTCCCCGGCAAGCCATCCCTCGTCTGTCGGACCTCCGAGGGCCATTTATGTGCAAGGCACGCTGGCGGAAGGGTTCCCCTCTGAAGAAAAGAAGAAGAGGCAGGTGTTGACTCGGTCAACATTCATTCTCTAATCTGCTAGCTCCAGCACATGTCGAATAGAAAGCAGGAGGGACAAGGCTGTGAAGTTCCTCATGAAAAAATTGGTATAGACCTATCCAGCAATATGGGCCAGACAACCATCAAAATTTTAAATCAATTGGGCCAGACTTGTCCTACCCATATGGATCATCTTCTCCAACATAATTAACACCCGAAAGATAAGTATCTTTAATTTTAATAATATTTATGTTTATTTTAATCAATATTTTGTTGTCGGTTAAATGTCACACAATCACGCACTTATGATCAAATGCCTAGTAGAGTGTGGCTTGAGACCCATCACTAGGATTTAAAGCCCTGACTCCTCAGGCACAAAGCCCTGTCTCCTCAGGCACAAAGCCCCGACCAAGTCGGGCATGAAGACAAAACCCCGACCAAGTCGGGTACGAAGACCGGTCTTAGTCATTCATCGAGTGGCGACCGTTGCTTACGAATGGCTCACACATCCATTCTACTAAGTATTTTATCATTACATTAACAATTCACATCTCCACTTGTTTCAAGTGACGAACTCCCGATCGGGAACATAAATCCCAAGAAAAAATTTTATATGTATGATAAATGTGTGGGTACGAAGATGACTTTACTCATTTTCATCTCGTCTCCACTCGCCTCAAAGAGTGGGGACTGGGGGACTGAGGTGTCAGAGTTTCTAGATGAGCAGAAAATATCACGCAAGAGCAGGAACGAGAGCTGAGTCAGTTGAAGAGGAGCTGAGCTAGATTGATTATGCCGGAGGGGATTTACCTTCCTTGTTTCATGTTGGGGGCGCTAGGTGTACTCTTTTTCCCTTTATTAGGATTTTTTCCCACTGGGTTTTTCCTAGTAAAGGTTTTTAACGAGGCACCTCCCCATAATGGACAAGGGTGGTGGTCCCCCGGCCGAAGAGGAAGAACGTACGTTGCAGATATAGTTTGGACTACTCCCTTTCGCCTCGAGTACTCTCGACTCAAGGAGTGGGGGACTCCTGATGGATTATATGGACTCCGACCCCCCGGTATGCCGACTACTAGGCCTGGACAGCGGCCCACACACGTTTAACAGATATCATTAATATTATTGTACATTATTATTATTATTCAGATGTTCTAGATTAGCTTTTTATACTATCAGTCCATTTATGTAACCGGGTCTGTCAGGCCCATATTAGAGGCCCAGACCCGGATTTTCCCTATATATACTCCTTATAGGATATATACTCAGGAGGCTTGTAACTCATACAACCAATATTCATTCTATACACTTCCATTATTTCTTCTCTATTCTTGTTCAATCTCTCTGTAGTTATAGGATATGGGTATCAATTATCCAACACATATTATTAATATTTTCTCTATAAAATCAATCAAAATTAGACACCATTGACTTGAAAAATCAAGTTTAGCTAACTAAAATGGGACGGAGGGAGTATATACTTCCTAGTTCTCTAGGCAATTATGCATATGTTGATATTGATGCATGCCATTTCACATGTGGTTATTTTATTAGTCAAAAGCTAAGCTAGTTCAATTAATGTTTAAAATTGAAAATTATGTATCATAGAACTTGGCCATATTATTTGTTTTTCCTGTGAATGATGGTGATGAGATATCTTCTAAATACAAATTATGTAAATATAAAAGTATGTGAAAGTATTCTTTATTATAAATACCTTCATAAAAGAATAATAATCTATACTTTTCACACAAATACGATAACTAAAATCATTGTTCAAAAATCATTGTTCAAAGTTTGATATCATTAACAAAAAAAAACAATATATGATCGAGTTTTATGGGATAGACTAGAGAGTATATAAGTCTTTAACTTTTCATGTTCCATTGCTTCCAAGCAGACGTTTTGCATTGATAAGGAAAGCAGCAAGAAGTGTTACACCTTTAGTGCAAGTGAACTTTCAATTGCATTTTCTGGCAATTCCCTCTATTGGAGCTGGAAACCCCTCCTCGGCTCTAGGTAATTAATTTCATAAATTCCTCTAGGCTCTAGTGTATAAACTTTTTGCAAAGTCAACATTTTTTGGTCAACCTATAATAAAAGTCAATCCTCCCTATCAATAAATAACTCAATTCTTAATCCTAACTCAATTCTTAATCATTAAAATTTAGATATTCAGAAATTACATTAAAATCTCTTCAAAGTTGCAAACTTCAGATTAGAATATAATACAAAATGGACATCCTAATTAAGCAAATAAAATGAAACTGTTTGACTAAGAAAAGTCAAATGTGCAAATCAATTTGGGACGCAAATCAATTTGGGATGGAGGTAATATATTTTATAGTATGTTTATATGCATGTTATTTTTCATAATTAATCTCATGCATGATTTCTTTATTCTTAATTACCAGGTTCCCCAAAATTGTTGAGCTTGTAATGATATGTTGGCTAGAAATCAAAGCAAACATAAGCACAAGAATGTTGTCCTCTAATACAATATATGGAGCCTATTTCATTTTCAAGCTTGCTGGTCGTGCATTTGGATTGGACTCTCTACCATCCGAGATTTCAGTCAAGTTTGGGAATTTCCAATCCCATAGAGTCGTTTATTTGCGGAAGAATTCCTACACCAAACAAGCCATGGAAAGAGCTTTCATGTTACATAGAGTGGAGGCTTTAAAGTCTAGGCTTCACCCTTTAGGACCAGAGAGTGTGGTTCATGAGCGTGGTGATGGATGGTTGGAGATTGAGTTGGGAGAGTTTTACAATGACTGTGACAGTGGCAAAGAGGTTGAGGTGAGCCTAAGAGAGGTTAAGGGTGGGCATTTGAAAGGAGGGCTCATTGTTGAGGGTATTGAGCTTAGACCCAAGTAGGAATATATATTTATTTAGGAATTATTTCAATTTAAGTCATTTAATTTTCTATTTCTACGAATTGAAGGAAAAAGAATAGATGGATGGATGCATTGTTGTTTTCTTGAGTTTGAATACGTCTATGTTTGTACAAGCATGTGCAATGGAGGAATGATCAGTTGTTTTTTATTTTCTATATTTAAATACTTTATAAAATACTAGTACATGTTAATAATTGAGATGTTTAATTGTGTTTGATTTATTAATTTTTGTTCTTAGGGAGCGTTGTCCTTCTATACTTGTTCTCACAAATAGAACTTGCTTCTGTATTTTATACGAGTAAGTATTGAATGGATGGACAAAAGCATCTCTATTTTCACGATTGTGTGCTTATAATGTATCACCGCTATCATTTTAACTTTTTCCGTCATTTCCATTTTCACTTCACAAATAATATACTCCCTCCGTACAAAAACAACTTCCCACTTTCCTTAAATGGATGTCCCAAAATTAACTTCACACTTCAATACTTTCCTTATTTGGCAAATTATCTACAACAAAAAAGTGATAAACAGTGTCAAACAGTGTTTAAACAGTGCCAAACAGTGTTGCCAAACAGTGTTTAAACAGTGCAAAACAGTGCACTCTACAGTAAAGTCAAATTTATTTCCTAAAAGTGTGTGAAAGTTTAACCGGGAAGTTGTTTTCGGGACGGAGGGAGTACTTTTCAACGCGTTCATTAATATTACTACGTGTTTTTCTTATCCAATTAATCATAGAAGAACGACACAACGGCTAAAAGTTGGGTGTTTGGGAAGGATTTGGATCCTCTGCCGTGCCGGCTAAAAGTTGGGTGTTTGGGAAGAACGACACAACGGCATCCAACGGCAGGGACAGTAGGGGAGGAGAGGTGGTGGGGCTGCTTTGGTTGAATCGCCTGGCTATAAAAGCCACGCACCCTACCTTGCTGCTATAGCAAGGCAGAGAATCCAGATCCGTTTGGGAACCCACCCCAATCAACTTCATAATATGCAAAGGCGGGACTTGAACAAGGTCGGAGGTGCATACCATACAGTGGCGGAGCCAGAGATTTTTCGAAGGAGGGACGTACCGAAGGTTAAGAATTATTATGTAATTGCTCAAAATATAATAAAACAATAATAGCGTAATATGTATAATATGGGTAAATCAATCATATACTCCTTCCGTCCCCGAAAGAAGTTCCCCATTTGACTTTCACACACTTTTATGCAAGTAAACTTACCAGGGGTAATTTTTACTGTTTTGACACCGTTTCGACACTGTTTGACACTGGTTTGCACTGTTTAACACTATTTCGATGTAGATAACTTTCCATTTAATGAAATGAGAACTTAAATTAGGGACATCCAAATAAGAAAAGTGAGAACTTCTTTCTGGGACGGAGGGAGTATAGTTTATTACATATTGTTTGACTCGTATCTATAATCTGGGTAAATCAATCATACGAGTTTTAATTTATTCAAAATGTTGTATGATAACTTCATGTTGGAAAAACAAAACTCATAATACAAAGACTCAATCTGACAAAATCATTTTCTATTACCCACATTGACTCTTTGTATTTGGGAATATTATACTTTACCTAACTCGATCATGATCACATACACTTCATCAAGCGATATTTTTGTGTCTTCTTTCAAAGTCATTTTGTGTTAATGACTTAACGAATGAATATTAAACCGAGTAAAAAGATAAACCTTTTGTTTGAAGAAAAAATATACATAGTAGATATTTTTCTTATTATGTGCTGTCAGCCACTTTTGGTAGCATGGTTAACAAAATCCAAAAAAAAACCTCAAGCAAGCACATATTTGATGGGTTTTGTAAGTGTTTTGTTTGAATTCGTGTTATTTTTTTAAAAAACAGTTTCAGTGCTCTGTTAACGTGAAAAAGGATCTGTTTTAATTATTTTTCCATGAAATGACTCTTTGACCACATAATCAGATCTTTAGATCTGATCGATTAGTGTTACAAAATACCACATATGTCACTGAAAATAGTTTGACCGATTATATTTCACTTTAACAAGCAAGTAAAAATAAAAATATATCAGATCTGAAGGATTTGTGAGTTTTTTCCAGTTAAAAACTTTTTGATTTTGTTTGTGAGTAAAAGAAGGTGTGCAGAAGGTGTCGTGTGTGCGTGCATGTGAAGGATCGGGTGGAGTTTGTGGGTTTGGTGTGGTGTAGGACGACGAATGTTACCTGTGTTTCCGTGTGTTGACCGTGGAGATCCATCGTCGTTGTTTGCTCCTTCGGTAGTTTGGGTCGTCGTTGCGGTGGGTTGGAGCCTGTTTTTGTGGCCGGAGTGTGGTTTGTTAGGTCTGAAGGTTTTGATGGTGGGTTATCTTCCCGTCTCGGGCAGTCGTTAGAGAGAGAGTGAGGACCGACGAGGACTGCGTGTCGGCGAAGTTTTAGGGGGTGTCTGAGGATGTGGCGTACGCTATTAAGGGTTGGGTTTATTTGGGTCTGGATCAATCGTATGTTGGGCCGCCCCATCCTCTTCATTTGGTGTGTTTCCAGTCAATATAGTTTGGGCTTACTTTAGGTGGGTATAAAAAGTTCAGTAGTTTGTGGTGTATTTCCATAATCAAATATCTTTTTATTGGAAAAAATAAAAAAAATATCCCATACTTTAATGGGGTGTAAGATGAATGTCCTAAACTTCATGTCTATATTTAACATCCCGAACTTTATATAAGAAGCTATTTTGGCACCACAATCAAGTAATATTTATTTAAAATATTTGAATATATTGTGTTAAATGCATAATAATTTTTTTTTATTTCGTGAAGACACGGTTAACATTATAAAGTTCCATTGCAAAATGAATAATTTTATTTCCCAGCTATGTAATTGCAACAATTTTTATTTTCTATTTTTAATTATGCAATTAACCTCATTAATTACCATTTTTAAATAAATAATACATAATATGCATAAAAAACGAAATAATACATAAACTTGGTGTGAAAATAAGTTATTGTGTAAAGTTTGGATTGTTTAAATTAAATATACAGTTTTGGTGTACTTAATTCACACCCCTCATAGTTTGGCGTGCTTTTGCAATGACAGCGGCATGACTGCTAATGCCACTCAAAATGTGGTTTATAAATAAGTTTTCAATAACTTCTAGAGTTGCATAGAATTTGGTTTTAACACATGTTGTTGGTCCTTTGCTGAACTATTTTGGTTCAATTTGTTGTTATAATTCTATGTTTAATATTTCCTTAATCGAATACTGTTCTTGCAAGGCTACTATACTCCAAAGCATTGTTTTTGTTATCAACATATCTTTTTGGGCTGATGTTGTTGAAAACATTTTGAAATAAGGAAAAATGGGTTAGAAATTCACCGACCGTGCATCGCACGGGTGAATTACTAGTTTATTTCCTAAAAGTGTG